AGAAAGTCACCTTTCTATTATAAGTTAAGTCACAGTAATGCTTGAAAACACCATTTCTTTTGTCATTAATGTTACTTCTAAACACGTTTTGATTAAAGAAGCAAAAAAAAATTTTTCAAAAAAAAAAAATTGCCTACCTACCTACCCTATATATTTCAGCCTGAAAGCGGAAACAAACATATTTTTTTTTTCTAGGCCTTACTGTATACAGGGAAATATTCGCCCCCCTTTTATTTTCGCCCCTTTCGTCCTTACATTGTTTGGGCGAATTTAAAAATGGGCAAATTCAAAACATACAATATATTTTCTTAAACAAAACTGTGACTGGGCGAATTTAAAACGGGGCAAAATTGGTTGCAAGTGTGAAAGGGCGAAAATAAAACGGGGCGAAAATAACCCTGTATACAGTATACTAGGGATTTGAACTTCTGTGCCTCCAACAAAGATATCTTGAATATCATGGACATGCCATGTTGATTTTGAATACTCAACTACTTTATTCTTCAAATATCTAATAAGTTTTTTTGGTTTCCTATGTATGAAAGAAAGAGGATTGCATGTACTGATTTTTTGTAAGATATCATCAGTGAAACAGAGTGAAAGAAATTCAATGAATGTGTTCCACACCTTCAGCCTGTTAGATATATACAGAGTTAAATATAGAGTCAATACTGGTTCAACATTTCAGATACAATTAACAACAAGAGGCCCATGGGCCACATCGCTCACCTGAGTAACTTGGGTGATGCAGTTTTTTACCAGATTCCCCCTCTTGCTACACCTATCATGCCCACTACCTCCTTCCCTTTTATGATTTTAAAACTTTAGAATCTACACTACCCAAGGATGCTTCCACATAAGTTTCAGCTTTCCTGGCCCAGTGGTTCTTCAGAAGATGATTTTTAAAGATTTGTTCTATATATTTCTATGTAAAACTTGGATTCCGTATTGTGGCCCTGTCCTACCTCTATGTAAAACTTGGATTCCCTATTGTGGCCTCACCCTACCCCCGGGGGTCATGATTTTTATAATTTAATATCTACAATACCCAAGAATTCTTCCACATAAGTTTCAGCTTTCCTGGCCCAGTGGTTCTTGAGGAGAAGATTTTTAAAGATTTGTTCTATATATTTCTATGTAAAACTTGGGATACCCTATTGTGGCCCCGCCCTACCCCGGGGGTCATGATTTTTACAATTTAATATCTACACTACCAAAGGATGCTTCCACATAAGTTTCAGCTTTCCTGGCCCAGTGGTTTTTGAGAAGAAGATTTTTAAAGATTTGTTCTATATATTTCTATGTAAAACTTGGATTCCCTATTGTTGCCCCGCCCTACCCCCGGGGGTCACGATTTAAAAAATTTAATATCTACACTACCCAAGGATGCTTCCACATAAGTTTCAGCTTTCCTGGCCCCGTGGTTCTTGAGAAGAAGATTTTTAAAGATTTGTTCTATACATTTCTATGTTAAACTTGAATTCCTTACCGGGGGTATTGATTTTAACAATCTAATATCTACACTACCCAAGGATGCTTCCACATAAGTTTCAGCTTGGTCTTTCATTTTAACAATTTAAACTCCCCTATACTCAAGTATGCTTTGTACCAAGTTTGTTTAAAATTGGCTCATTGGTTCTTGAGAAGAAGTCGAAAATGTAAAAAGTTTACAGACGGACGGACGACGGACAAAATGTAATCAGAAAAGCTCACTTGAGCCTTCGGCTCAGGTGAGCTAATTACCTTTGGCCAGAGAGATTTGATGTTTGTATATCCTGATCTCCCTGCTTGTCTCTTGTTTGTACTGTTCAAAGTCTCGGGTGATCTCCTCGAGTTTGCTGCCTCGGGCTTTGTACAGGATCTGAAGCTGTGCAAACTGTCTGTTGTCAAAAGCTCCAGCTGGAAAATGTACAAAAACATATGGATAATCACTGTTGAACTTATCCCTTTCTTATTTTTGAATAAAAGTGTTACATTTTTACCTTGATTTTAAACATCAAGGAAAATATTCCCTTATATCTAATATTCCTTTCTTATTTTTGGATTTAAAGGGTTTCCAATTCTATCTTGATTTTAAACATCAAGGAAAATATTCCCTTATCTTATTCCATTCTTATTTTTGGATTTAAAGAGTTTCCAATTCTATCTTGATTTTAAACATCAAGGAAAATATTCCCAAGAGAGTTAAATGAAATCAGCATTAAATGTACCTGGTCCAGTATTTTCATGAACCTCCTCTAATTTTTGTCTTTTCTCTTTGACCTCTGGCACTTCTTCTTCACTTTCGCTTTCTTCACGGTCTTCTCTACGTTTGTAGGTAACCTGGTATTCTCCTTTGAAATCCTTATCTGGGACACTGTCATGAACAGGATATTCTTGTGAAGAATGAACAGGATGCCCTGTTGAGACTGGGGTAGCATGAACAGGATGCCCATGTGAAACTGAGGTAGAATTTGTGACATAACCTTGGTCTGACTGTAAAGTGTGTTGGTATCCTTGAGAATGGGGTGTGTCTGAGTATGGCTTGTATGGGTTGTCTGCCCTTGGATGCTCCTCTTCATCCTGTCGGTCACTGTAATAAAAATTGTAAATCTTTGTAAATATTGTAAGGCAATTGATATTTTTCTATATCTAAGTTTTAGGAACTTGTGTCCCAATAAAAAATCAAAATGGAATACAGATTATTTACACTTTGTAATCAATGTTTGCTAAAAAAAAATTTCAACAATTTACTTAATAATATACTCCATACAATGAAATTTTTGCCCCCTTTAAATTTTAAATTTAAAAAGGGGTTGAATTCAAAGAACAAAGTATTATTTCTTCATTAAATTGTGACTGCAAGGCAAATTTAAAACAGAGCAAAATTGTTTGCAAGTGTTTAATGGCAAAAACAACAGCAGCAAAAATAAGCATTTACACAGTATATAAAAATATTCTTCAATAAATATTTGAGTATGATGCAAAAGAACTGATAAAACCTAAATATTTACCTGTAATAGCCAATATAATGATGAAGATGATGATAATGGTAATGCCCAGGCAGACCCCCGACATCTGAATGTTCATCTGTCCCACCCTCTGCTTCCTGTCTCTCTGGAATTTCCCCATACCTAAAATGATCCTCCGAAGTCACATGATGCGGTATGTATGTGTTACCATGGTGAGAGGGGTCATAAACATTTGGCTGACCCTGATGTGAGAAGACATTTTGATTGGACCATTCAGGAACCTGGTGAAACTGATGGTGATGATGTCGTTGAGGCCGATGATGGTGATTGGATGATTTGGTGCTGCTTTGTTCACTGTTACTATGGTAACCATCACTCTCTAACAAGCCCTCATGGGATCTTCTTAAAACTGTAAATAAAGTAATGTTGTCATGCACAAATGCATTTTTTAAACTCAGGCTATCCAGTATTCAAATAAACACTTCAATATAGTGTTCTAAGATCATTAGACTTCTGTATAATCATAAAGGTCATATTCAAATTAAACTCGGGGATCAAGAGTTCATGCAATCTCTGCAGGACTTGTAACTTTTTCTGAGTTAAATTACATATAGCTAAGCACAAGAAATTACTCACTGATTTCATACAACTATAATACTTACTTCCCTCTTGAGATGATCTCAGCAGCTCTTGAGAAGCCCTAAGGCTCTCCTGAGATTGTCTCAGTGAGGACATCGAGCCGTACGGACTCTGCGCTATGGTTGGGAGACCCCCCAGAGGGGTGGAGGTGGGTAGGGGGAACGTTCTCCTGTTCCATCCTTCCCTGGGAAACACCATGGCAGAGGGTTCTTCATCCTCCTCCACAATGGGCTCACTATAAAGATAAAGTCAGAATTAGGTCAAATGGTCAGTTTCCAGCATCAAGACAGAGTTAGGTAAAATTGTCAGTTTCTAGCATCAAGATAGAATTAGGTCAAATGGTCAGTTTAAAGGATCAACACAGAATTAGGTCAAATGGTCAGTGCCCAGCATAAAGACAGGATAAGTCAAGCTGTCAGTTTCCAGCATCAAGACAGAATTAGGTCAAATGGTCACTTTCAAGCATCAAGACAGTAGTAGGTCAAATGGCCAGTTTACAGCATCAAGTCAGAATTAGGTCAAGGAGTCAATCTGCAGCATCAAATCAGAATTGGGCATAGCGGTCAGTTTCCAGCATCAAGGCAGAATTAGGTCAAATGGTCAGTTTCCAGTATTAAGACAAAATCCATTATTTTATAAGATAAACATTATGTCTTGCATCTTCATTTGCTATTATTATTTAGGTGTTTGAAAAGAATTTAGTCCACAATGTTCCTAATTATATATTTGATTAATAAATTTAACAACAAACATGACAAATAAAGGAAGAAATTTTAAAGTATAAAAGCCTTACGTATCCTCCTTGGATCTGAAGTGGAGGCTGTGATTCCGTGAGTCTCCGCCCTCATCCGACGTCACAGAAAACTCATCATCTTCATCAATTAAATCATCAAACGCATCCTTCAGCAGAGCTTTCAGCTGTAAATGAATAGTATCATCATCAATTAAATCATCACAAGCACCCTTCAGCAAAGCTTTCAGCTGTAAATGCATGAATCAGGATAAATCCTTTTTGCATATTTTCAACATTCTGTTAATATGCATTATTTTACATTTTAAAATTTTGTTTTATATAAGAAAATCTATTTTCTGCCCATTTTTAAAACAGTATTCCCTATGCATGAATTTAAGTTTTAAAAAAAGGATATTATTTTTAAGAAACTTATCAATATTGTGTGCAATTTCACTACCTGTAACAGAAGGGCATACAAATCTCTTATATCATCATACACAGCAGGGTGAACTCTGACCCGAAAATAACCTTGACATGGACACAAATTTGACCTCTTTTTTGGGTCATTTAACAGAGTACTTAATGTAAATGGATTTAGATAAAAGTTTCCTTTTCCAGTTCCAAATTGAACATCATGGAATTCCATAAGATCTATCAAACACCAGAACTTGGCAAATAAATTCCATACATAAGTTTCTGTCTGGGTGAAATAAAAGTAATATATTCCATTTTATGGTTACGTAAAATGCGGTGAGAGAGAGTTTATATTCCAATAATTTCAAAACAGACATATACTTTAAAGAACTGCTCTGTGACTGCCTTAAGGTTTCTATCACATCAACAATCAAACTATCATTTATACACTTTTCTAGAATCGGATGAATTCTGATTTCAGTGATCATAAACTTTTTTCATTAGACATGTTGGATTGCAACTTTCACCGCCCGGAGCATTATTTTCAATCTCTTAAAGACTCTTGATAAGGATTAGGTGCTAGCATTTTGATTGAAACAATTAATTAGCATCATGTTGTCATGGTAACAACCTCCATCAATAATCAATCAGTGATTGGGACATCTCAGAGAAGATGACATTAAGAAGACAAGGGAATTAAGAAGCCAGTCAAACAGGCTCTAGAAAATCTACAGTGAAACATGCTGAGATATCAAGTTGATTTAAACTTTAGATATTTTTAAGACCATTAAAAAATAAGCAGTATATTTCTTAGTAAACTGAAATGTTCAGGCCTAAACTATATTTAGCCCTTGGAGAATAACTTACCATGCTTACTAATACTAATACCACTTTCCTAGGTACACAAATCCTCAATCCTCAGTCTTCACGAAAACTCACTGGTCCGAAGACCGAGGCCAGTGAATTTTGATTTCGGGTCAGTGAAAATCAAAATTCAAGAAGTCCGATGGGCTTGTTGATTATAAAATTCATATACAGTCCAAATTTATTTCAACTGAGTTACTTGCGTAGTTTCATTTATATATAAAATAAAAAAACAAGCACGTGTTGTTGAATCGTATTATTATTATAACCCTATTATAACATGGATGTATTACGTAACAACCGGAACTAGCTAGTAATTATTAACTAGTATGTAAAATGTGCAAAGTTCCAACGAACAACTTACCGAAACGCGACAAAGGGCGAAAAATGGCGGCATTACAAAAGTTGAAGTACGTAAACATGTATAAGTTTACAGTTATGAAAATATATTTATTTTATTTTTTAGGTAAGGGGCCAGTAAAAATTTTGGTGGGCTAGTAAATTTTGAAAGTTCACTGGTCCGACTGGCCAGTTAGTTTGAAAAGTTTTCGTGAAGACTGAATCCTTAGAACAATTGTTAATTAATAATGCTTATACATGTAATACTGTAAGAGGGAAAAGAAAAAGAGAGAAAGGGAAGAACACATTTTATGTACAATCAAATTCATAAAAGGAATGAGATATAATATGTAAATGCAGTGTCCCCATGACCCCTGACCCTTTTGACCCCATGCTGATACCGACCTCATTTTGTTGCTGTTCGTTTTCCCTTTGAAGCTCCTTTTCCTGCTGACTCTGAAGGTCAAGGCCATCAAAGTTCATCATACTCAGACCAGGATTCAGGGCACTTCGGTCTGTACTCATCTTGTACCTTGACCTCTCTCAACGACCTTGAGCTTCATAAGTCACATGGCTGACATCAAACTGAAAATAACAAAATCAAGAAGCTTTATTTCAGCACTGACAGAATTTGGTTTATTGGTTATTCCTTATTTGAATCAATCTAAGTTGACGTTGCAGGTAAAATTCAGCTTTATCTTATAACAGGCTAAGCTATGGCGACAAAAGCAAAAGAATTTATTAAACCATCATGTATGATTTGAAAACAGCACTAACATGAAGGCAAGGCATTTTTAAATCAGGGTCTCCTTAACCCCCTTCACCACTTTTTTTGGCAAATATATACATACTATAGGCATTGAAAATTGGGATTACCCTTATTTGTAGGGTTAGCCCCCCCAGGGTTTTAAACTAACTTGTAATCCTTGATCGCCATGTGGGCTACTAAACCTTGCAATTCTGGGGCCCACATCAAAATTTATTCGCCCACAAATTATCACTCCTTCTAATGAATAAAAAAAACAACAACTCAATTTTTCGTTATTTGTTTATTATCATATGCTTCGTGTTTCTTGACTATTCACAGAAACTTTATGCACGACTTATCTAAATTTGAAGTTAAACTCTTTCGTTTAAAAAGATTGACATGGTTATTAAACATCATATATTCAAGCACATGGCAGGTTTTTTCCACCGATAACAATGATACATTTTGGTTTGTTGGGCTCGTCAACGCGTCATTGCCACATTGTGTTCGTCACAATCACTCAGACGCTTTATTTATAAGTACTTCGCACTGGTAAATATAAAGCACTTTACTGATTACGAAATTTTTCAAGAGAAGAAAACGAAACATTCGGACAAATTTGAAAAACAAATATTTAGTATCGTAAATTTTCTAATCGCCATGTGGGTTACTTGAATGTAATTTTAAGTCGCCCACATGGAATATTAGTCGCAAATTGCGAGTGGGCGACTGTTAATTTCATACCCTGCCCCCACTTCAAATTTGCTTCTGACGCCTATGATAATTGTGTCATGTTAAGATAAAACATTGACAATTTATGAAATGATAAGTCAAAAGATAAGAGTGCAATGATAAACCGTTTGACGGTATACCACGGTTTATTTCTCTACGGTTCAACTCACGATACACAATCGGTCCGTAATTATCTAAATCCTCCATTTTGGTTCCTCGTTTACAATTTTAAAATGGCTTCCGCATGAATTATTAGGGCAATGAAACTGCAGAAACGGCAGTTAAACATGTTTCCAACCTCATATTTAACGGGTCGACGGATGTTATCTCTTTCCTAGTGTTAGTGTAAAGAACATTTGATAAAACTTTTAAGTAATTAGTTTAAAGTGTATGATGACAAACGTCTGACTTTTTAACTCAATATGTCGTGTATCATGAAACGTATTGTATTGTGAACTGAATACTGTGATACGTATCATATCGTGGGGTAGGCGTATCGTTGCACCCCTATCAAAAGATAACTTTTTTGTCATGTTTATTATTGTCATTGTGTATAACTTAATTCATTCTCCATGCTACATACAATAAACTTATATACTGGTATAGTACGCCTCCCTCCCCCATTATTTTACTCTCCATGCAACATACTTCGAAATATCTACTGATATACTGGTAACCCCCCCCCCCTTCATTTAGATCCCCTCCACTGATCTCTTCAAAATCATAACATGTCAGAAGCGTAATTAAGCAGTCAGGGGTGTGATTGAAATCCATCATTTTTAAAAATGATAATTTTCAGTCATTAAATTGGTTTTTAATAATGATGGAAATTCATCTTTTTTTAGTAAAATGATGAAAAACAGTCATTTCTATTTTGAAATTTATTTTAGAAATAGAGTTATCTCTGATATTAAAAATGACTGTTTTTCGTCATTTTTTATCAAATTGTTAGGTCTGGGCGCACTTAATTATCTCATTAGTTTTACGGGGCGCACTAAATTATTTTGGTTTCAATTACTTGTCAAGATGTTTCTCTACACAAGGGTCTATGGCAGGATAGTGTACTATATCTAATTACTGTAGTAAATGGGATGGGAAAATTGACTTGAGAATGGAAATATGATGAAAAGACGTCATATTTACAAAAATCAGAAAGTTGTGTACATTATATACTTAGAAGAAATGACCATTATCCATCATTTTCAAAAATGACTGATTTCAGTACCACCCCTGACTGTTAAGTGTTCTTTATTTTGCAATATTTACACTAACTCTAATTATCTTACCCTTCAAACAATAATAATCTCATCGAAAGAAAAATTGCTTTTTTTCTGATAGACATACACCAAACAAATCGTGCTTCAACGTGAAGAATTTAAATCCCAGACTAAAACAGGAACTTCTCAGCATGTGCCGACATGTTTTCAGAGCCGCGGTCGAAACCAAAACATTCCTCTCTACTCGAAAAATCGTGGCGATAAAAATATTTTACAAAATCTATCATTTAATTTAGCAAAAGAGTTTGCATTTGATTTGTTATAAATGTGGTATAACATGCAGGAAGAGTGAAAACGTGTGCTTACATTCTGTATCCCTTCGAAGAGAGCGCCATTTGACAACATATCCCATAATTCTTGAAAAGGAAGTCAACAAGCGACGACTAATGAGGGGCAAAGACGTGCTCTAAAGATAGACCAAGTAGACAGAGTTACCGCTCATGGTATGTATATTTTGTAATTTGTTATTTTAAAAAAATAATTAAAAAGGAAGTTTGAAATAGAGACAGAGAGAAAAAAAAAACATTATTGTATAATTAAAATGAATGATTTTTTTTTTTTTGGACAATGAGCGCACCGTTCTATTATAGGCCTATCTGGCTATCATGTCCTACAGCACAAACGTAAACAAATCAAATATTTAAAAAATCTTTTGTTTGACAAGAATATTTAATGTGTCTGTTATTTTGTCCTCTCTACAATATTCTACTGTATTCAATCCACACCCCCAGAACCCGACTTGATTTCGTGAGATGCCCATGGGCCACAAGGTTCATCTGGTTCACTCGATCTGGCAGTAAGTGGCGGATTCATAGGTTAATGTATAGGAGTTTTGAGGACCGAAAGACAGGAGCGAAAAAAGCTAACTTACCTTTAGAAAGCAATTAAAAAAAAAATAAAAAGGAAATTTTGTCCAAACTCGGGATCGAGTACGTCAGATTAAAAATTGGAGAGGGTTACATTTTTGCAGCTAGTTGCGGATATGCAGATTTTAATTAGATTTTAATTAATCTATTTTTTTTGGGGGGGGGGGGGTTCTGATTCCCTCCCATTGAAAAAAGAGTTATGATCTTACGCTTGAGCATGTTGAGAAGAATTAAAATTTACCTCTCTTGCTAATTAAATTGCCAAAGTCAGGTTACATTCAGAGGGAAATTGGCCCAGTAGTTTATAAAAGGAGTCGTAAATGTTTCAAATTTAAACAGCAAGACACACGGACAAACAGGTAAAAACAGATATAAATGTTGGATAAAAACAGCCATGCAGAAATACTGAATTACTGAGTATTTGAGCTTTTCGATAGATGAGCTAATAAATCTAACAATAACGATTGTAACACATAATTGATTTTTGTTTTACTTAATTGTATATCAATCTGCTAGCTAAATGAATGCATGAAAACAGCTAGTAGACTTAATTGATGCTTAGGGTGAAGATTTATCAGACATGCAACCAGAGCTTTTTGCTGAAGAACAAGAATTATTTACTTCAGGTCGTGTTCTCGTGTTGGAACTGTATTCTTCTGTGTGTAAATTGTGCTCTAGCTTTATCGCAATCATGCACTTGGATGATAGCGCCATGAACGGAGTGGATGAATGCTCTCCAAACAAGAAAAGAAAACAAGATGATGATGTTTTTCCCGCTTGCAGGCCTGACGAAGAGTTTCCCAAAAGTCGTATGTCAATTAGTCCTGATGGCGAGGGTGTCCTGAAAATAATGCACGATGTAACAGTGTTGTCCACCATTTAGACTCCGTACAGAGGACGCTTTTACTTGGAGGAATTATGGAAGATAAATTTTGTGGGGAGAGGTTTGATCTGGATAAGTGGACGAGATGAAACACTAAAACTTATAGACAGAGACGGGTCTCTGTTACACACAGTAAAGACGTCTTATGTCGTGTCAGCAATGACGGTAAACTCAAACCAGGAGCCAGTTTTCTTAATCAGTTGGTCCGACAGACGCGTTTACATTTACAGGAATAACAGGGTTGAGATACTTTTGGAATTGACGGACTGGTTGGGAAGAGGTCTACATTATATACTGTAAATGGAGATCTACTAGTGAGCATGCACACACAAGATGACGGACAGAGTAGAGTGGTGAGATACACAGGGACAACAGAGATTCAGGAGATTCAGTATGACAGTCAGGGACAACCTTTGTTTGGTACTAAAATGGGGGTATGCTAAATCTCACTGAAAATGGCAACGGCGATATTTGTGTGGCTGCCTTTGGTTGCAAAGCCGTCATTGTGGTCCATACATCCGGGTGTTTAAGGTTCAAATATCAGGGTCACTCCTCCAATCAGAGGGAAAATGCACTATTCCTACCATTTAATATCGCTAGTGATGTCAGTAATCAAATACTGATAACTTAGAGTTCTCGTAACGTTATCCATACCCTAGATTGTGATGGTAACTTTGTTTTATATATAGAATATCCGTGCAGTGGAGGAATATGTCTAGATATTGATCAGAATCTTGTTATTGGAGATAGAACCACGGGGGAAATACGATTCTTTAAGTAAGGAATTGTAAGAAAATCATAGAGAAACAATATATATATATACCTATGAGGACAAAAGCAAGTATAGTAATTGTTACCAAGGGTATTCATAATGGGCATCCAGTATGATGTTGGTAGACAGATCAAACATCGTTTCATGCAGTATTCTTCTCGAATAATGAAATTTCACGATTTTTATTAGAGGCAGGATGGAAATTGACTCCGAGTACAATAGCAAGGTTATTGTCAAACAAAACATCAACTATTGTAATAAAGTCTATTCCTTAACAGAGCGTTAAATGGATCTATAATGAAAATATCTTACATTTCAATATTTTACCGGGTATATATCTAAGATATATATTGAACGACTTCACAATTTTTTAGCGAAAAACAATTACGAAATTGATGGAGTTTAAACAGTGCAGATAAAAAAAATACAACATGGAAAACATAAAAAAAAAATTCCCCGTCCCGTAATAAGGAAAAATATATATCAGAGATTATAGACGGCTTGCTTCACACTTTTTGGCGAAAGACAATTATAAAACTGACCGAATTTAAAAATAACAAAATATTAAATAAAAATAATCACCATTAATGCAAGTTTGGGAGTCATCTGTATGAAAAAAAAAAAAATAAAATTCAGATGAATAAGTTTTCCAGCAAGGAAGCCAGCAGTTAAAATGCCCTCGTCCCGCACTTAAAAAATAAATAAAAGCTATAACAAAATATATATTAACTTTGTCCGTGGCTAAAGTGTGGTTCTCCAATACCCCTGGATGAAAAACGTTTGCCTGCGTGAGGACCCACAGCCTTATACAAACAGTCCGGTTTAATAGGGGGACCCACAAAACGCAAACATTTTGCCTTCCTTTAGTCATTGATGTTGAAGACTTGATATGCAGACAAAATTGATGCTGAGACTTTATATATGCTTCAATATTTGTCATGTGATCGAGACAAATCGATCAATAATTGTCTTTTCATACAATTTCCTTAAAATTACATATACATTACGTACATGAAAGAAAATACTGTCGCTATAACAACGTCCTTTCCAAAAATAAGATGATAGCTTTCAGTTTGAGGATTAATTATGCTCAACGCATATACACAATCAATGCATTTAAGAAGGATATGGAGATAACGAACAGTATACAATATCAAAGTCCATAAAACAATACAAAATATATAGGAACAGAGCAAACACGGGCCTCTGGAACATCAAAGATGGGATCAGGTGCCACGGAGGAGTGAGCATCCCCTGCTGACCGTTCACACCCGCCGTGTGCTTCTTGTCATGATCGGGAAATAAAAAAAAACCCGATGACATTTCAGTGTATAAACAATGGACTAACAATTAGTAGGAAAAACGTCAGTAGGCATTTGTCTCAATGATAAATTGTATTTGCTGACAAGGTCATTGTATCGACCATAGACTATAAGAAATGATGACTTTAAAAGAGACTGTTGATACTCTTGTTTCATCAACTTGCTGTTCAACAATTTATCTCGTTTTAGAAATTGTTCATACGTAGAGCATGCCCTTGCGTATCGAATCAACTGAGATATATACACTCCGAATGCAGGTGATGAAGGTATATTGCTGCATAAGTAAGGGAAGTTGACGATAGAAAAAATAAAGTCATCACGTTTATCATAGATTTAGGTTTTTAGATTACCATTAACGTCTTTTTCAAGAAAAATATTCAAGTATGAAACAGATGTGTCCATCTCTGTGGAATCTTTTATCTCGAGCTCACCAGGATATATCATATCGACGTAGGAATGGAAATGTCCATTGTTAATTGACAATACGTCTTCGCCATATCTAAATGTCGAGTTGAAGGCCACAGCAAGTGTTTTATTCTTTTCATGAATAAGATTTTGCATAAATTCTGCTTCATATGAGTATAAAATATGTCTACTAATAACGGAGCGCAATTGATACCCATGGGATTTCCTATAGATTGCTGGAATGCCTTGTCTCCAAAGATCACTTAGATATTGTCAATTAGAAACTCAAGTATCTCTTTGAAGTCAACTTCAGAGTATTTGTGTGTACAATCATAATGTGTTTAACAACATAATTTTGCAAACAATCCAGACCAGGAGCACAGCAAAAAAGGACCTCTGAAACATCAGAAGTGGGATCAAGTACCATGAAGTGAGCATCCCATGTTGACTTGTCACACCCGATGTGTAATCCGTGTCATGATTGGGGAAAAACAGAAAAAAAAAACATATATCCGTGAATAATTCAGTGTGTTTATAATGGCCAAACAATATTCATGAAAAACACCAGGCAGCATTTGACTCAGTGATAAATTGTATTTGCTGACAAGGTCTCAAGTAAAATGCTAAATGACGTTTTCCTACTAATTCTGATATGTGCAACTGAACACTGAACCGTTGATGGAATTTTGATCCCGTTATTCTTGATTATGACAAGGAGCACAAAATGTGACAGGTACGCAGTGGATACTGGAGTTTTATGAAGAGACTTACTTTTGCAATCAACTGACTGACTTTTACAATTTAAACTGTGACCAACTCCCATTACTAAAATGTAAAAGTCAGCTGTCGAATGTAAAAGAAAGTCTCTTCATAAAACTCCACTTACTACTCTATGACACCTGACCCCACCTCATGTTGAAGTGATTCGTATTTGCTCAGTTCATGATTTGTATTGCTTGAATGCCTTGACTTTTGACCTGAAACACCACTGTGGCAACGCACTTTGAAAATTTTTTTCAAAGTGCGTTAAAATTGGGACAAAAGCAACGCACTTTGAGAAAAAAATTTCAAAGTGCGTTAAATTTTGGACATACTCAACGCACTTTGAAAACATTT